CTCCCTCCCTCCTCTCCTCTTCTTTTTCCTTCCCTCTTCATTTTCCTTTCTTCTTCCTTCCCCTCTTTCCTTCTTTTTCTTTCCTTGTTCTCTTCCCATCTCCCCTTCTTTTACTTGCTCTTTCCCTTTCTCCCTTCCTGTCCCTTCTTGGATGCTGGAATTCAAAAGGGGGAAACATTTCTCCTTTGTTTTGTTTTGCTTTTAGTTTCTTTTGCTAGCCCTCTGTACTAAAAACGAGGTGCCTCTGCAAGCAAAAATGGAACCTAGGAAGGCTGCGTGCAATCTTCCCAGGCTCCATTTTCAGCCACAACAGCCTCCTGCAGCCCTTTGCCAGAGAAAACGGAGCTCGGGGGCCACACACGGCCTTCCCAGGCCCCATTTTTGCCCGCAATTGCCTCCTGAAGCCCTCCAGGCTCTGCTTTCATTGGCAGAGGGCTGCATATGTTGTGGCCAAAAACATGGCCTTGGGGAGTCATGTATGGCCCCCGAGTTGTGTTTTATCTGGAAGAAGGCTGGAGGCTGTCGCGGTCGAAAGCAGAACCTGGGAGGTCCATGCACAGCCCTTTCAGGCTCCCTTTTTACTGGCAGAGGCACCTCGGTCTGGTCCTTCCCTGTTCCTAGGGTGGCCCCGTGGGACAGATCTAAGCATCCCATGGGCCGGATTCAGCCTCCGGGCCTGGAGTTTGACACCCCTGATCTAGTAGTACTCCAGGTGGACAGCTCATCAGCTCTCCCTCTTTAGCCTCCAAACCAAAGCCAGAAGACTCCTTAACAATAACCTAAAAATATCCCCTTGTCCCCTTCGGTGAAAAGGGCGGCATATAAATGCAATAAATTCAATTCAATATGTCACAGAGTGTTCATTTATAAACAGTATTCATTCATTCTGCTGCTTCTCGCTGGCAGATCCTTCCAGCAGCTAGAATATGTAGACTATTTAGCTGTGGCAAAGTCATGTTGCCCTGGAAGTGCAATACTGTACTGCAATATTATACTGTAATGCATCCCACAAACATCCCACACACTTTACAAGATNTTACTATCATCATACCTCAATCTTCATATGACTATAATTGTTTTTACGTCCCTTTATATAAAATATTCCAAAATTTAAAGCAAAACCACATGATGGCATTCCGTTATCCATTTTCAATATCATCCAGCAACATTACATCTTTATAACACTTTCTAAATAAAAATTAATTATGTTTAAGGCACAGATTACACTTCGAAATACTCTAAGGTGCCGTGAATTTAAAATAACAGCAACACTTTACTGGTTAGAATACAGGTAGTCCTCAATGTATGACTGCAATAGAGGCCAACATTTCTGTCATTAAGTGAGACAGCTGTTAAGTGAGTTTTGCCACTTAAGTGAATAAAACGATAGAATAAAATATGGTATAAATTCCATGGCACTGAAATAAAACAATGCGTCAAGTCCCCCTCCCCCAAATAACTTTATTAAAGTTTAAAAAAAAGAAAGATAGAAACTAACTTTGAACGAAAATATAAAGGAGTACAGTAGCTTCCAATTTTCTTTGCAAGGGTTAAATGAATGTAAAATCACCTCGTACTACATGTTTACATCATGACTCTTGGCATGTGCGCTTGATGTTGGCAGACTCTTTGCTTATCATTATTCATGCCAGGAACACTCCCCCAACCCCTGCTTTTATAGGATAGCACATGACGTGGGGTTTTAAGATGTATAACAGTCTATTAATAACTCAGCACGGGGTAAGAGGAGGTTCAGAGTTTTCATTAGGCAGCTTCGATCACCTTCCTGACTTTTTCACCCAATGAAAATGCCTTGGCCCAAAATTGCTTTCTAAAATCAGTTAGCTTTCGAATAGGCTTGTCTCCTTTTACATTTCTAAACGGAGATACAAAGGCTTCGTTTGCAGAGCTGCAATTATTGCGTACCGATGAAACGTGACTGGAAACCGAGTGCCGTTATAAGGGATGGAATGGAATGGTTTGCGCAGTTAGGTGGGAAGGGCCTCCATGACATCTAGCCAGACCACAGAGTTCCATGTAACTTTGGCATATAATGCTGGCCATATGATCTTGGAAATGTCTTCAGACAATACTGGCTCCCCCGGCTAAGAAGCAGAGATGAGCATTGTGCCTTAGAGTCAGACAGGACTTACCAGGGAAACCTTTACCTTTCCTTGTATAGGTAGTCCTCGACTTACAACCATAATTGAGCCCAAAGCTTCTGTTGCTAAGTGAGACATTTGTTAAGAGAGCTTTGCCCCATTTTACGACCTTTCTTGCCATATTTGTTAAGCGAATCACTGCAGTTGTTAATTTACTAGCACGGCTGTTAAGTGAATCTGGCTTCCCCATTGACTTTTCAGAAGGTTGTAAATGTTCCTAGGACACTACAACGGCCATCAATATGATCACTTGGCATTTTGATCCCATGACCATGGGGATGCTGTAACGATCATAAATGTGAAACATAGTCCCAAGCCACTTTTTTCAGTGATGATGTAACTTTGAACGATCACTGAATGAACCGTTGCAAATCGAGAACTACCTTCAAATTGATGTCAGAAGGACGCAGTATTTACACCTGGTTTCAATGAATGAATAAACACGGAGCCCCCTTTTCTCTTTCAGGGAATTTCAAGCTGTGTCCCAAAGACTGGCAGCTTCATGGAAACAAATGCTATTGGATCTCAGGGGAGAAACAAACCTGGAATGACAGTAGAGACGACTGCAGAGCCAAAGATTCTGAACTTGCAGTTTTGAAAGAAGAGGCAGAACTGGTAGATACCAACATTCTCCTGCATCCTGTAGAAATGTGCAGTCTTGAAAAGACCCGGCTCCTCCTTGCGTGGTCATGTCCATGGGAACAGTTTTGGAGCAGTTTCAGTTCAACTCTAATTATCTAGTGCAGGGGTGTCAAACTCAATTTCATTGAGGGCCACATCAGGGTTGTGTTTGACCTGGGAGGGCTGGGGGGGCAGCTCAACATCACTCATGTCGAGGACACCAGTGGTGGCCAAGTGCTAAGGCAGGACTTCCTTCAGACCCTCCCGCTCTTTACATTCTCCTTCCTTCCTTCCTTCCTTCCTTCCTTCCTTCCTTCCTTCCTTCCTTCCTTC